TACCGGCAAGGACGAGAATCAATCTATTCTAAACAGGACCAGAGCGTTGACACTTGCATTACATTGGCTAATGCACGTGATTGTATTTGAATGGTGTGCAAATATAATTGATAAAATCAACCAGTGAGATGAGATAAAATGACTAAACTGTTCGGATAGACACACGTTCAAATATTAAGCTTAACCGAGTGGTTTGTGAATGAAGGGACCGTATCACTAACTCTACACTAAAGTTTTGTTTGCATTGTCCATGTAAACGTACTTCATATTTTGAGTTCGTCCTTCGACGCAGTCTAGGAGTTTCGTAAGGATCATAAATTAGATTTATGTCAATATATGAATGTCTATAGGGTCACACAATATGCAATCGGTTTTCCGACTAAGAAATCGATAGTGTTAAATATTCAAATAGATTTGAATATTTATTTATGAGTAATGAGATTATTTTCTATTTGATGGAAAATATTTAATTAAGTTAAATTAGGTTTACACTTAGTTAGTAATGAGATAATTTATATTTGATGGAAAATATTTAATTACGTTAAATTTGTTTTATATTTAATTGAATTATTAATTGGATCAGATCCAATTGTCTATTGGGCTATAAGGTCTCCTAAGGCCAATATGATTAGGTTTGACTTAATTATAAATAGGTCATTATCTCATTGTAGTCTTCAATGATCATTAGATGAGAGAAGAAGAGAGACATCGTAAATACACACTCTCTAGTTTTCTGGATCGAGGTTCCTAGCTTCTTCACCAGAAAGGATTCATTGGTGTTAGATCGTGCATCGGAAAATTAGATTGCGTGGATACCATAGACGAGGACATAGACAAGTTTTCGTTACTCATTCACACGATCTAAGATCATATCGAATAGCTATAGCCGAATATTCCTTGTTGGTAAGAAAAATTTTAAGTTCCGCTGTGCGCACGCTAGGTTCATACATAAAAAATCCAACAGTCTTCGCTGAGTTAAGAACAATCATGCGATTCATAGCGGTAAGGACGGGGGATTGTGTCGTGGGGACGGACGAGGACCAATCTTTGGAGTAGGGGATTTTTTCAAGAAATTCGATAAGTCCTGGGGATTTATCTGCAATTTTATAAATTTTAATATATCACAATTTAGGTCTTAGGTAAACCTGTAATTTATCAGAAGTTTGATGAATGCACAATAATAATAAGTGAAATGCACAATATTATGTGTGAATATGCACATTCTAAATAGTGTTGTTTTTTTTTTTCGTGAAATTACAAAATTACAATCGTCTTTACATTTAAAAGTTCAGGAATTTACATAATGCACAATATTATTCGATGAGTTACACATCAATGCCTGTGAAAAGCAAAATAGCGTCCGTATTCAGCGCAATTTATATACTAGCTTGATAATTAATAGTTAACGAACCCCTTCAAATGGCTTAAACAGTTGCTATAATATACTAGCTTGATAATTAGTTATGGTCTCTTAAATCTATAAATTTGTAATTTATATAGGAATTCATATATAAAAAAATGTTTATAATTATATGTTCGTTTTTTACTAAAGATCAACTTTTAAAAATGTAATATGTCAATTACATACCTTATGATTTTAAATATAATATTCATATTATTTTTGTTCTTTGAGTCATGAATCATGAGAAATTAATAATATTCAATATGGTCAGAAATAAGATAAGCACACAATAAATCAATTATGATCTCTAATAATGATTTCCCATAATAATTCAATTTGGATAAAATTAAAGGTACATGCATCATGTGGAACGGTAGAAAGTAATAATGGGTTGAAAATTAAAATTGTTAACAAACTCATCTCTAAGATTTCCATTAACATCTAGAGGGCACTTCTCAACATTTAATATTACATATACATAAGTATTTGAAAATAATGTGATGGCGACGAGATCGCATTGACGTATTTGGCAAGACATGATCGGCTTCGGGTCTAGACGATATGTTATTGCATATATTATTTATTTTCTTTTATTCCCTTTTTATTTATTGCCTTTATTTATTAGGAAAATAATTATTGTTGCTTTAATTAATTAAAAAAATAATGTTTTGTTAGGAGTCTATTTATTGGAGCATCCCCATCGTTCTGAGACAGTTTTCACGATTAGAAATAAAAATATTTTGAGTTCTTTTGTCTTTTCCCGTCGTAAGCTTCTATCTACGTCATAATGTGTGTAAGCATGGGGTAATAATTTATTAATTTGTCATAAAAAATTATTCAATAGTTTTTGACTGAGACTAACAAATGAGTTCTTATTTGTTGTCTAAATGATTACCACTGATTTTTTTTTTTATATATATCATTTTAATTGCTATATAATTTATTTTATATTTGTATATATTGTCTGTAGTCAAATAGGAATGGGAAAAGTCAACAAGTGGAGTGATGATACTGTGTTGACCATCCTCTTAGCTTCCTGAATATATGGGTCAAAGTGTACCCTGAAAAACTTATCCGTATACCCATTACAATTTCGATAAGGTTTGGGCAAAAACTGAACAGTCTAATCCAGGCATGGTTTTAGTGTGTCTCTTGTTTGAATGATAGGATATTAAGATGTGTATGTTTTGTTTCAAACTTATCATATAGATGGAGTTGATAAAGTTTAAAGAAAAGGAATGACCATAGAACCAACCGATCGAAGAGACTTGGTTTTTTTTTTT